CGGCGCGGCACAATACCTCCGCAACTGATACCCTCGACAGCCACGACGGGCGCACGCCGATAATCTGCCTGATGCACCTATTTTGGAAGCCGTCCAGACGGCGTATCTGGGCTTTGTTCATCATGGTGCCAGCCAGTCCGTAAAGCATCTTAGACTCCACCACAGAAGCACAGATACGTATTTGCGACACCATGTCAAAGATGAATGGGACCACAATTTACTGAGCGACGAAACTATCCGTTTTGCCTCGCCGATCTTGCGCCCCAGCTTCGGCCCAACGTCAGCGTCCGAGGACAAGTGCGCGCCCAAATACTGAAGCCGGTCGACATGTTTAAGAACGGTGCCACCTTTAGCTCGAATGTCACCGCTGGCCTTCACAGCAAGGACTTTGAATTTGTCTCAATGCAACTCCATGCCATACCGGCGCCCTGCTTCTGCGACTGCATTCAGATACTCGTTTAAGCACGCGTCGTCCGTTCCGATCAGCAGAGTGTCGTCCGCGTAGATGCAATCACACATGTCCCCGTTGGCGTACGCATCTTTCGTAACCCCTTCCAGCAGCCCAACAGCATCATGTAATAGCATTGTCATGACGATGATAAAAAGCAGTGGGCTGAGCGTGCAACCCTGCGATATGCCTGAAAGCTGCGGTCTTGGTGCGGAGTCGTTGCCACATTCGTTCACGACGAACATCCTCTCCGTCGTCATCACGCGTATCATGTCGCGGAATTCGATCGGGACCCCCACCCGCCTGAGCGCGTCCAAAAGACTGTCGGTGTGGATGCTGTCGAATGCCTTTTTCCAGTCGATTAGCTCGTGCAATTTCGATGTGCTGCCTCGCTGCGTATATGGCGTGTTCCGTGCTGCAGCCCACCCTGAAGCCGAACTGGGTAAGCCACAGCCTCTCGTCGACGCCAGCGTCCAGCAGCCTTTTCTTCAGCATGGCAGAGAAGAGCTTCATGGCGATGCATTGTAAAGACAACGGGCGGTAGTTGTCGCAATTTGCTGGGTCCCCTTTCTTATACAAAAGTCGCACTGTAGATATGCACCATGCGTCTGGGAGTTCCTTGTTGGCCCACGCTGCATTGCAAATGTCCAAGACCCATTGCAACTGCCCAGGCTCGTCCGCCAGCGCCTTGTACACCTCCGCCGGGATGTCGTCGGGCTTGCACGCTTTCCCATAATGCATTTTTCGCAAAGCTGTCCGGAGCTCCGCCTCTGTGAACGAATCCAATTTGACGTTACGGCCGGAGTGGATAACGTCATTTGTGCCCGGCGTGAGCGTGACGTAGCGCACGTGCCATTGTATCGTATCCAGATGTTGTGCGAAAGTCTCTGCACGCTCGTCTGTGGCGACGGGGGGTCCCTCGGCTGTTGTGCAGCCGGCCTTGATGTCTCGCCTTGCGTTTTGTAGTTCTCTTGATGCAGCCCCAATCACCAGAAGCAGTCAGATCTTCTGACCACCGTGCCTTGTTTAGCTGACTGTTTGACTAGTCTCTTAAGCCTCTCTTCTGCTTCCCAATCTCCGTCTGCGCGAGCCTGCCTCCTCTCGTCTAGTAGAGACAAAGTGCGCTGAGAGATCCATGGCTTGTTCGGCTTGCGATCCACGTCCGCTTGCTGCCATCACCGACGAGTCCGACATTGAATGCCACCGTTGAGTCACAGAGCCGTCTTGAGGCAACGACCCTGCCACGCATGACACTTCAAGTGATAAAGATCTTCGTGCGGAGGGCGAGCGGAATTTGCTCCAGTCTTTCCGCTTGCGCCTTTGCGCCGCCTGTTCCTGCTGCTCCGTTGTGTCGCCGGCAATGAAATTTGCCACCACGGGGAAATGATGAGAGGCGAGAGTAGTGTTCGTGTCGCTGCGAATGTCCATCAAGTCCCTCTCCAGATCTGCCGGCACCAGTAATAGATCAAGAGCGTTAGAACCATTGGCCGTGATCGGACTCCCAGGACGGACAAATGGTTCATGAGATGTCGCTTTGAACTGTGGGGGCAAATCGAAGACAGTATTTGGAACAAGGAAATCGACATCCGTACACAATTCCATGAACAGATCGCGGTTGGGAATCTCTGTCTTCCTCACCACTTCGCGCCCGAACGAATGCTCACCCATGATGCCCTCTTCACCGGCACGTCGCTTGCCGAGTCTGGCATTCCAGTCACCGAACACCAGACGGGGACCATATCCGGGGAGTGCCCCCATGTGGCGCTGCAGGCGATCATAAAAATCGATTTTATCATCTGTCGGCCTCTCATTGTGTGGTGCTTACACAGTGCATAACGTGCGCCGGCCAGAGCCCGTGCGGACCTTGATCGAGGCGATGCGGTTGTCCAGCTGCCAGTACCCGCAAACTCGTGGGCGAAAAGCTGTGGATATCACAAATCCTACGCCTGCGAACTCAGGGTTGGTCCCCGCCGCGCCCGACAGCACCACCAGGTAGCTGTCCTCGGTACCAGAATGGTCGGAATTCGGCCGGCGCGTCTCCTGCATACACATGATGTCGATAGAATGATCCCGCATGTACCTACACACCTCTGCAAACTTCAACTCTGTCATACCTTCGATGTTCCATGAACCAACACGTACAAAACTGCCAAAGCTGCCGCGGTCCATACTCTGTAAGTCCGCGCCCTCGCCGCTCTCTGCCGCGAGGGGTGAAACTACCTGTCTGCCCCCGCACTGCTGTTACCCCTACATGGGGCCACCTCCCTTCCCTTTGCCTTTGCTCTCGTTAAAGGCCTTCGCCCTGTCGAGCTTCTCCTGGGCCCCGGTGGTGATCTCGGAGAGCTCTGCTGATGACTGTAGTGCGCCCCATTTTTCCCACTCCAGGTCCACCCACTTCAACTCCAAACGGAAGTCCTTTAAAATCGTCCTGGCCACCACGGTCCCCGCAACCGACAAAGAGTACTCATCTATGTTCACCTTGATGCACTGTTTGTTGTAGCCCCACGTCGCCAACATGCATCGGAGCCCGAAGAGAACGCTGTGCTGCGAGCGGATGTCGATGGGGAAGCCCGGCTTCGCCCAGACAGTGTTCCCGAACTCCCCCGGCTGTCCCTTCGCCTTCTCGAAGCCATCGACCCTGTCGAGGAACTTCTGGCGCGACGCGTCGAATCCGGACTTGATGAAGAACACGCCCTTGAACTCGCTCTTGCAATAAAGGTCGCGCGCAGCGGGTACTGGAAGACCATGGTCCGAACACAAAGTAGATGCCCATTTTGCCGCATCCTCAAACGTCTTCGCGTTCGGCACGTTCCCGATGACGGCCGCTGCTGCTCATGGATTGTGTGTCGTAGACTGATTGCGCGGGGTCGTGCATTGCGACAGGGTTTCGTCGATCATCTTGGCCACGTCTTCCCTGGTGATGGTCGTCTCCTGGAGCTTGTTCAATTTGTCTTCATGCTGCTGAGTGTCGTGCCCTCCTCCTTGGACTCCAGGGTCGTGATGCGCGTCTCCATCGTGTCCACCTGCAGCTTGATCGACTCGACTGCCTTCGTAAGTGGATCGAGCCTCTCTTTGAACTTCCTCTCGAGGATGGTCTTCATGGCGTCGGTGATCGCCTTGATGGTGACGGAGCCTGAAGATGAAGATATCGGTGTACCTCCGGGCGGGGCGGTGGGAGAATGACCTGGACCAAACGGCACAGGTGGAGGAGGTAGGAAAGATTTCTGGTCGTCAGGTCGTCGTCGCCGTCCATCTCGTGAAGTGGGCTGTGAATCCGGTGTTGCTTAAGCACCTCTTTGACCGGGGTGCATGGCATACGTTTGTCACCAGAAGAAGACATCACAGCGGTATCGAGTGTAAGAAAGATGAAAGGATGAAGGGGAGAGGAGACCAGTGCTGGTTAGGTAAGGGAACATTTGCGTAAGCAGATGTGTAGCCACCACCTTGAGCCAGAAGCTTAGTAGTAGCTCAGTTCGCCCACTTACGAAGTAGCGCTACTAAATCGTAAGTAGCTCAGACGTTGCACATGTAGCATACAAGTCGCTCAGATGTGGCGTAAATCGCTCATACATCGCATATGTACGCATGCCAGTTCGGGGCTACTTGTAAGCATGGTCAATCTAGGAATATTGTAGTGCCTTCCGGCAAGTGCCGCCGATCCGGGGCGATCCGGATGATGATGATGATGATGATGATGATGATGATGATGATGATGATGATGATGATGATGATGATGATGATGATGATGATGATGATGATGATGATGATGATGATGATGATGATGATGATGATGATGCATGATGCTGCTGATGATGATGATGTGATGTTGATGTGATGAGATGATGATGATGATGATGATGATGATGAATGCTGATGCTGATGCTGATGCTGATGCTGATGATGCTGCTGATGTGATGATGTGATGTGATGTTGATGTTGATGATGATGATGATGATGATGATGATGATGATGATGGTGGTGGTGGTGGTGGTGGTGGTGGCGGTGGTGGTGATGATGATGATGGTGAAACGACGATGGTGATGGTGATGGTGATGGTGATGGAGATGGTGATGACCCGGGCCCCCCCCCAACCCCCCTCCTCTCTCCTGTCCCCCCCTTTTTCTCCTGTCCCCTCCGCCCCCCTCTCTCCTTTCCCCTCCCCTTCCCCCCTCCCTCCTGTCCCCCACCCCTTTCTCTCCTGTCCCCCCCCCCCTTTCTTCCCCCCCCTCTCTCCAATGCTTCGAGCGCCGGGGCCCTCAGGGGTCGATCCGGGCAGAGAGACGCAGCAGAAAGATGTGGTCAAGGGCTTCGGCAGAGCTTATCTGCGATGCCGTATTTCTGTCCGCGACCTCGGACGCCAGGTGTTCGCGTCGCGTCCAGATGGCGTAGTCTGTCTTGGTATTTTCTGGTATGTTTTGGTATATTTGTATGTTTCTTTTGGACACGACTTCTTGTTTTTGGTTGAAAGCGTATTCTTGTTTTTTTTGGTAGCCGAGGCCGACCTGCGAGGAGACGGGGGCGCTCCCAGGATCTCTTTCTGGCATCGATGGACCAAGCAACTGGACTTACAGGGAACACCCCGTCGGGGATCTGGGCCTCCGCAGGGCCGCGGCCTCGCCGGCCTCGGCGGGCCGCTGGCGATGGTCTCTGCACCGCCGGCGCCGGCGGCGAGCCTCGGCCGCGTGCCCGAGAAGGCGGGCCGGCCACCGGGCGCGGGGGAGCTGCCGCTGGAGGGCGCGCTGCGCCTGTTGGGCGGCAGCGGGAACTCGGGCGATCGCAAACATGGATCCACGGGGCGTGGATTGGCGACGGGTCCCGTTTCCAAGGGGAGTCGCGGCTTCCCGCAGCCGAGCGCAGCGGCACCGGGCGCACTCGCATCGCTAATCCATGTTTGCGCGCCCCCGAGGAACGAGGAGCGGGTCCTCGGGGTGACACTGGTGCTGCTCGGAGAAGAAAGAGCGGCAAAAACACAGACTCGTGGCGCTCCGCGCGGATTTCTTGGATCCGCGCTGGAGCCCCCCTGGCGGCGCCTCTGGCGCCGCCCCGTGTGCACTCCGCGCGCCAGGGAGGGGGGTGCAGATCCATGAAGTCCGCGCGGAGCGCCAACAGTTTTTGTTTACAGTGAACCATGATAGTAAGGATGGGCAACTTTCCCAAAGGTACCCTCGCGTCCTTGCCTCCTCGGTCCATCCTTGGCCACTTTCGTTGACCGCGTCCCGCTCGGAGAACTTTGAAATGCGTTTCCAAGGCCCTTGCATGCTTATCGCGCATCCTTACTATACTGGTTGACTGTATCAGTTTTTTCTTCTTCTAGGCGCTGCACCACTCCGAGCTGCTGGCGGCGGACCCCGCGTCTCGCGCCCGGCTCCTGGCCGCGCTGGATCTCGGGGGGGGGAGGGGCACCGCTGCCGCTGCCCTGGTCTCGTGTTTTCGCCTGCTGTGGGCCCCCCTGGGCGGGAGGCCCTCGCCGCCACGGCTGGATTCGCCCCGAAGTCCTGGTTAGAACGCGCCCCAGGTGAGGTCTGGGAGGTGGCTGCATCGCATCAGGACCCAGCGTTCGTCTGCCAGCTGCTCTGCAGCGCGCCCGCGCTCCGTCGCGTGGCCATCGCGGCGCTCCGCATCCTGCTGGTGGACCCTCCTGCGGCGGCGAAGCTGTGGCAGTGCGCGGGGGCCTTGTCCCAGGCCTGTGTCACGGCCAGCGCGGCCGAGGCCGAAGCGGAGGAGGCCGAGCGTGCGGAGCGTCTGGGCGAGATCGTGCAGGCATCAGAGGCGCTGCGGCAGCTGCTGCGCCTCCAGGAGGGGCCCGGAGGCGCCGCCCGCAGCGAGGCGGCCGCCGCGGCGGCTGCCCTGCTGGAGGCCCTCTCGCCGGGCGGCGCGCTGGCCACCTGGCGCGGGGAGCCGGGCGTGCCGGAGGCGGCGCTGGCGCTGGCCCAGGAGGTGGCCGCCTCCGCGCACGCGGGCGGCGGGGCCAAGGGCGCACTGGCCCCGGCGCGGCGACTCGTCGAGGGCACGTGCCTGGACCGGCGCCTCCGCGGGTCGCCCGCGCACGTGCTGGCGCTGGGGCTGCTTGCGGAGTTAGTGGAGGCAGGCGCGGCCCCGTCGTGCCTGGACGAGGCGCTTGGGGAGGCCGTCGCCGCCGGCGTGGCAGCGAGGCCCGCGGCGCTAGTGCTCGCGGCCGCCGCGCTGTCCACCTGCGGCCTGTCCTTCGGGCAGCGCGGCGGCCCGCGTCTGGCGAGGCTGCGCCCGCTGCTGGAACTCGCCGCGGGGGAGCTGCGGCTGGGGCTGGAGGGCCACGCGCCGCGCGAGAACCTCTACGCGGCCTGCGCGGCCCTCGAGGCGGCGGCTGTGGCGCTGGGGCGCGAGGCAGAGGCCCTGGAGGCCTCCGCGCACCTGCTGGAGGAGGCCTCGGACTGCCTCCGCCAGATCCACAAGGCCATCGCCCATGTGCACGACTACTGTGCAGACCTGAGCCCGGAGGGCGATCCGCCCGTGGAGCTGGCGCTCGTGGCACGGCTCGCTGCCGCGTGGCAGCTGGAGGACCCGCGGCAGTTCTCCGTCGAGTTCCAGCGCTCGCTGCCCGCCTTCTGCGCGCTGCCCCCGGCCGACTTCGCTGTGCTGCTGCCGTGCATCCAGGAGACGCACGACTGGCACCTCACACCGGCGCTGGGCGCGGTGCTCCGCACCGCGCTGGCCGCCGCCGGTGCGGAGGCCTCGCTGCCGGACGCGGCAGAGGTCTGGAGGCAGGCGGCGGGGATGCTGACGGAGGTGGCGCTCGACGCCGCGGCCTACCTGCCGGAGGCGCCGCTCTGCGCGCCGCCGCAGCGGCTGCTGCAGCGCTGCCGCGACGGCGCGGCCGCCGCGGCCGCGGCCGCCGCGGCGCCTCCCGTGCGGCCCGTGGTGCCCTCGCGGATGCCGCGGCCGGTGCCTGCGGCAGAGCCGGCGGGCCACGGCGTGCAGATGCTCTGTGACTGGAGCTGCGTGCTCTGGGCGGCGGGGGCGGCGGCCTTCGCGCCCGAGGGCCACCGCCGGTGGGAGCTGGGCGTGGTGTGCGGCGCGCTGCTCGTGTCCGTGCCCGAGGCCGCCGTCGTCGTGCGCCCCGAGGTGGTCGACGCGAGCGCCGGGGCGTGGGCCGCCACGGCCAGCTGCCTCTTCGCCGGGTCGCAGGCCGAGGCTCAGGAGGGGAGAAGCACAGACACAGAGAGTCGTCGATTCCCAGGAGGGTAAGGGAAAAGATGGGAAGTGGGGGGGAAGACGAACATCCAGAACACCTGGAAACAGATGGGGAATCCTGGAATTGGTGTCTATTCATTTGTATGTCCCTGGGCCCCTTCAGAGGCGTCCACCTGGCGCCTCGCCATGCGCCTCGCCGGCTTCGCGCTGGACCGCCACGCTGGCCTGGCGGCCGCGCTGGCGATGGCCTCGGCCGCACAGCCGCGCCCGTGGGCGGCTCCAGTGCCACCTCCCGGCGCAGCGCCGGGGCGCGGCGTCGATGACGAGTGGGCGGTGGCGGACCTCGAAGAAGAAAAAAAAACACACAAGCACACGAGCACACACTCTCGGAGGTCTGCGCGGATCTCGTGGATGCAGGCAGGGAAGAGGTGCCAGTACCGCTGCCCGCCACTTTTTCCTCGCCGCCACGGCTGGATTCGACTCGGAATCATTGGCAGAACGTACCACAGGAGAGGTCCGTGGAGTAGCAGGACGGGCATCGTTCCCCAATCAGTGCTTGCACTGAAGGGTTCCTTGCGGATATTGAAAGATTTGGCGAAAGTTTCCCGCCGATTTTGGTAGCCGGCTGTGTTCCCGGGTTCCTGGTTCCCGGGTTCCCGGTGATTGGTTCTGGGTCGATTTCGGTGGGTTCTGGGTTCCCGGGTTCCCGGTCGATCTCTTTATCGATTCGATCTTTTTATCGATCCCACGATCGAATTCATTATCGATCTCATGATCGATCTCACTATGCATCTCACACAATCGATATCACCATTGATCTCATTTTCGTTCTAACCATGGATCTGACCATCGATCTCATTATTCATCTCACTCAATCGATCTCACCACCGAAAGCATTCTCGATCGTACGATCGATCCCACTATCGATATCACGATCGTTGGCACTGAGGATCTCACTCAATCGACCTAAGTATCGGTCTCACTATCGATCTCAATATCGACATCGTCCTCACTATCGATCTTACAATCGATCCCATGATCGATCTCACGATCGAGCTCACTATCGATCTCACTAACGATCTCACTGTCGATCTCACGATGGCTCTCGCGATCGATCTCACTGCTTAACCACGGGACACCACGGGCCGGTTTCGGGATAAAGTGGATGTCTGAATTTTTCGAAGATTGCTTGATCGGCTCTCTTCCCGCCCTAGCCTAGTTCGGATATACATTGTAGTCCAGCCTAGTTCTCCAATACTCCCCCTTATATATAGACATACGTGTCGCTCTCTACAGTTCCTTCTCTGTGCATGTACCGATTCGCTGTTATAGTTCCTTCTCACTCGCTCTCTCTCTCTCTCTCTCTCTCTCCCTCTCTCTCTATATACATATATATATATATACACATGCCGTCTGTCTCATTATTTCCCCATCAGTGTTTGCACTGACGCGGCCCTAGCGGATATTGGAAGATTTGGAGAAAGTGTCTGGCCGATTTCGGTGGCCGGCTGGATTCCCGGTTCACAGTTGATGGTTCAGGGCCGATTTGGGTGGGTGGCGGGGTTCCTGGGTGTCCAGTTTGGGGTTCCTGGGTGTCTCGCTATCGATCTCACTATCGATTCCATTCAATCGATATCAATATCGATCTCACTATCGGTTTCACTATTGATTTCACTGTCGATCTCATTCATTCGAACTTGATCACTACCGATATCAACCTCGATCTCACTGAGTTATCGATCTCGCTATCGATCCCACTCCTGCGACAAGTTCAGAAATCCACTAATTTGGGTTTTCTTTGGTGTAAGTTTATTTCCCCTGGATCGGCGCCAGACCAATCTGCGCGCTGCTTGTGTCGTCCCCTGTGTCCCCAGGACACGAGCGCCGCGGTGGCCGTCTCCGACTTCCTGGTGGCGGTCTCCAGGCGGAACGGTCGCAGCCAGGGGGGCCGTGTCTCTTGCCTCTTGAGGGGCCCATTGGCTTCGGCTTCGGCACGACTCCCTGTCTTTCTCTCTCTCTCTCGATCTCGTGAGAGCGAGGGAGAGAGCGAGGGAGAGAGAGAGAGAGAGAGAATGAGACAGAGAGAGTTCGTCGATATGATGGGTTCCCCCGGGTCGGGGGGTGTCAGCTGACCACCAAGTCGGCCCTGGCTGGGCCGATCTGGGCCCAGAGTCGGTGCACGACTCCCTGGTCAAGGCAATGAGGGCGTAGACACTGATCCTGGGCCCGGGTGGGCCCAGCCAAGACAGCTGAGTTTGACAGTTACCCATCGGTCGTTGAAAGTAGGTATTTTTGGATTCCCAGGTTCCAATCTGCTTTAAGCGCCTTCCTACTTCAATGTTCGAGTGGCTTCACCTTTTCCGTCCTCCTTAGGGGGCGTGCGGACACCCAATCTATTTTCAACGCCTTCCTATTTCATGTTTTTACCTACTTCTTCCGACCGATGGGTACTGTTTACGCCCTTCGATCTGGGGTGACGGAACACAGCTCTCTAGTCGTCGCGGGCTGGGTGGCATATTTGCATCCACGGCCTCGCGGTCTGGAATCGTTGGCCGCGACCACCCCATGCATACGTGGCAGCTTTCCGCGGTTGCCCTGCGCGAAGTTTCTCCACTGGGTCGTGCATGCACAGGACCGCCCCCCTGAAATGCAGACCGCGAGGGCGTGGGAATGGATGTGCCCAGTGAAAGAAACCTGGTCAGGATCTGTCCCCAGACCTCTCCCGGGATCCATCTGGGCCACGAACAAAGCGGGTCCATTTGCGCCGACATTGGTGCGTAAGCTCCCCGCGGAAGGTCACGCGTGAGCGCCATCGTGTTCAATGTGGCGCGCCGCGCTGGCGGCCCGCGTAAGCTGCGGCGCAAGTTCGCTACGTCATCTCGCGCAAGACTTATGATGTTCCAACCTAATTTGGCCTTGTTCACCAGAAAGAATTTCGAGCACCAGGCAAGTACCGAAATCGGAGGGTTTTCACGTGTCGGGCTCTGGGAGGCGATACTCGTCCGACACTGTTTCGACACATATCTGGGTGCTCGACATTATTTCTGGGATGTGGCCCGCAAGTACGACGGGAGCAACGTGACGCCAGACCCGTTTCTTGACCGTCGCCCACCCGGGCCGGCTCTCCGTCCCGGCTCTCGGGCCCCCCTTCCTCCGGGGGGGGGGCCCAGGATGAGCCGGGACGCCAGGGCCCGCGCGAGGAAGAATCGTCGCCGTGGGTCCAGACGTTCTCCGTCCGTTCCCCTCTCGCTCTCGCTCTCTCTCCTCCTCCTCCTCCTCCTCCTCCTCCTCCTCCTCCTCCTCCTCCTCCTCCTCCTCCTCCTCCTCCTCCTCCTCCTCCTCCCTCCTCCTCCTCCTCCCCTCCTCCTCCTCCTCCTCCTCCTCCTCCTCCTCCTCCTCCTCCTCCTCCCCCTCCTCCTCCTTCTCTCTCTCTCTACCCAGAGATCCGACGCCCTGTTTTTTTCCCACATGCGGGGCCCCCAGAGGTCCGGCCCCTCTCCGCGGGACGGGCCGTGCTTCCCGGGACGTTTTTTATGTGTGGAAGGCCCTCGGGCGGCGAGGGTCCCCCCCGGAGGTCAAGTCGGGGGGCCGCGTGATGGGAGGGGCGATGGATGGGGGGGGCGCGCAGAGGGGGGGGGAGGGGGGAAGGCTTCTTAGAAGAAGTCTGTTTCTTGGAAGGCGCCGGTCTTGCACCTACAGACGAGGCCCGCGCCTTCTGAGAAGCAGGGTGCTGCTGAGAAGCCTTCCCCTATCCTCCTACCCCCCTCTGCACGTGGCCGATAATGTGGGGGCAGCGAGGGTTGCGGAAATGTGGGCCTTCAGGGCCCCTGCAGGTGCACAGGTGTCCTTTGGGGCCCCAAATGGGGCCTGCAGGGCCCGAGAAGTGCACCTTTCTCCCCCCCCCATGTATCGCACGACCCAATACTTCACGCCCGGGGCTAGTTGTACTTCAGGAACAACCGAACGTGAGTTAGAACCTGGAAATACATCAGAATAACCAAGATCATCATAACTGCAACTTTCCAAGACATCAGAATATCAAATTGATCAGGATGTGGAAATTCACGTACAGCAAAGATACTCTCAGTAAGATCAAGATCAGATCAACAGGCATTCATTGGCGCAAAGCGGGCGCACGACCCAATACGTCACGCCCACGTCAAAAACGACCCAAACAAGTCCGCATTGCAATGTTCAGGACGCTGGGGGTCTCGGTCTCGGTCTCTCTCCAGGTGGGATTCTCGACAAGTCCTGGTCAGCAATGTCCTGGCTCCGGGAACCTTCGAGTACGGGATCGATTATAGAATCGGCGGTCCCCAAAATTTATTGCTCCGTCGAATCTGTTTCAGATAGAGAGAATCCTCCGTAGATCTGAGGAGCATCTTATTCTTTTGTTTTAGATTCGACGGACAAATCCATTGTGGGGTAAAGCAGCGCTGTACAGTCAAGCCGCATGGTACGGATGGGCATCCTTCCCAAGGATACCCTTGCATCCTTGCCTCCTCGGTCCATCCTTGGCCACTTTGTCGGCCGCGCCCCGCTCCAGAAGCTTCGGCATGGGCGTCCAAGGCCCTTGCATCCTTATCGTGCGTCCTTATGACACAGCGGAGGCCCATGCCAAGAAACACCCTGCTCGCCTCCAGGGTGCCCTGGGTTTCTGGGTTTCGATGGTCTTGCTGTGGAAGGCGTGACGTTCCCACATCAAACATCCATGTACGTCCTTGGGTCTCAAGGTTGGGCTTCTTGTGGAAGGTTTCTTGTGGACTGGCCCTCACGAGGGAAACAAACAATGACATAAGCATACACAACTCGGAGGTCCACGCGGATTTCTCGGATCGGCGTTGGACCCCCCTCCTGGGCGCACGGAGCGCGCTGGGGGCGGCGCCAGAGGCGCCGCCAGGGGTCTCCAGCGCCAATCCGATAAGTCCGCGCGGATCTCCGAGTTTTTATGTATATGTTATTTGTTCGTTCCCCTCGCCACAATCAGTGCTGCAGTCGACCCCCCACCCGAGGCCCCGAGGGCCCACTCCTCTCCGGCGGCCCCGACGCGGCCTCCGAGAGAGGCGGCCTCCGAGAGAGGCGGCCTCCGCGAGGGGCGGCCTCCGAGAGCCGATCCCGCGGAGAGACCGCCACGGCGCGAGGAGTCCCGACCGGGGCCCGAGGCCCCAACTTTGATCGCGCGGGTGGTAGCGGGGAGTGACCCAAGTGGGCGGGTGATGAGAAGGTCAAGCAGTGACGAAGCGTCCTGGCGTCCCTATAGGGCTACCAAACGATGTTCTAAGAACCTGGCGTGGTTTCCGCGAGATGTTCTTAGAACATTCCTGGCTGGGACTATCTTGTTTCACCACATCGGGCTTATGTTCTAAGAACATTCTGCTGTTCTTAGAACGCTTTCGGGTTCTAAGAACATGTCGTGTTAGGCCCATATGAATGCCGGGACGGTCGGTCCCTGCTCAAGAAGGGCCCCAAAGGGGCCCTTCCTGGCCCCTATTGGGCCCCTGCTGGCTCCAAAAGGGGCCCTGAAGAGCCCCCTTGAGGGCCCCTGTTATCACCCGCCCATGTGGGTCACTCCCCATGACCAGCTGTCCGAGTTAAGTCGGGCGTGTCCGTCTACAGGAGGAATATTCCTAATTTGTCAAGAGATAGTATGGGGACGAGATCCGACCCCGGGAAGAGATTGCCACGGCGCGAGAAATCACGACCGGGCCCAACACCCCAGCGTTCAGCCGGGCCTCGCGTCCAAACGCGCAATTCGGCGAGCCCGAGTGCTGGCGTACTCGAGTTTACGTTTTCTTTTGATTTAATTATGTATTTGTTTATTTATTTATTTATTTGTTTATTATTTGGTATAATCTAATATGAATAAACACGTTCCCCTCCCCCGCGGCCTCCGAGATCCCACAGCTGGAGAAATCACGAGCGGAGCCCAATACCCCAGCTTTACATCGGGCGTGTCCCTCCACAGGAGGAATACTCAAACATAGAAAACTCTCTGGGGGCGGTTTTTTGTTTTTGAGCATGTTTGAAGATGTTTAGGTTTTTTTCATGTTTTCTTCCAACATCCGCCTGTGAGAGGACATACCCGACCTGACCCTAACTTTCTTCGGGCCTCCCGTCAGAAAGCGTCGGCGACCCCGAGTTCTGGCGTACTCGAGTTTGCGTTTCCCTAGCGTATACCCAGACCCCTGACGACGTTTTTTTGTTGGTGCTGTTTTTTTCCCGCAGCGTCGACCCTGAGAGATCTGGACGCCTTCCCCAGGACCAGTTTTTCATCCTGAGTCGTGTTTTGGCGGTCCCAGGGCCCAGGAAGGGCCCCCGGAGGTCGAAAATGGCGAAAGAACCAATGAATGGAAGATGAATTGGATCCGTCAGTGGATCACTCTTGTGTACTGGCGTAGAAGCTATGATGTTTCTTTTTGGTAGTGGGACAGCTTATGATGCCAACCCATGCCCACCCCGTCCCGTCTCCAGGGGCTTCGCATTCCACTATGATTGTGGGATGGGTAGACGGTCCGCCGCCCACTGCGCTGCACGTTTTGCGCAGGGTTAGTGGGGATTCGAAAGCGGTGGCCTCGCGGGAACCTTCCCCCCCCCGCGGCCTCCCGGGGCGCCCTGTCGCCGTCCCCTCGTGGGGACCACAGATCCCTGACTCCCACGGGCCGTTGCAAGTTCAACCACGAAGAACCTGCGCTCCCAGGGCCACGATCCTTTGCAAACTATCGGGCGTCGCTTCGAGCGCTAGGGGGGGAAAGCGAGGGCTGCAGAAAGGGGGCCCTTGAGGGCCCCGAAGGGGGCGTGGAGGGCCCGATAGGGGCACCTTGCTTCCCCCGCGCGCCATGTTCGGGGCTCAAGAGACGAGGATCAATGCAAAGGGGGTCAGTCCGAGCGCTGGATCTTGCAGGATCCTGCAGGGCAATGGGTGCATTGGTTCGGGTCTCGGTGCAGGGTCCTGCAGGGTCTCGCAGGATTCTGCAGAGCCCGACCGACCCGGGTCTGGATTGACCTGTGTCAATAGATCCCCGATTTCTTCGGGCGTTGCGTGACGGGCGGGCGATGACGTGAGGAAAGGTGCACCTTCTGTACACCTTGCGCGCCCTGAAGGGGCCCCCTGGGGGCCAGAAGTGGCGCGAGCGGTGCCCGTTTCTTCGCCCAGCGCCCGATCCCTGGCGCATGCTTCGAGCGGGATCCACCTGTCCCAGGCCCGACGCCGGGCGAAATCGCCCGGAGGCCCGACGCTGGGCGCCTCTGCAGCGCCCGAGGACGGGCTGTGGCCATCCCAGACCCCCGACGTCGTCTTGTTTTTCTCAACGTCGACGCCCAGAGGTCTGGACCCCTTCCCCCGGGACCGGTTCTCCAGCCCGAGTCGTTGTTTGACGCTCCCGAGGTTCGGGGAGGGCCCCCCGGGGCCGAAAGTGGCGACAAGCCTCCCGTCGCGATTTTAAATCACAGCGCGAGGGGGTCTGGGATTCGGCCGGCGAAGGCTCCCGGCCTGGACGGCCCCGCGCGTCGCCTCGCCGGCGGCGGCTCTTGGGGCGGCCGCCGCCGCGGCCACGCCCCCCGGGGCGGGCTGCTGCTTGGAGGACATGGACTGAGCCGCTGGCCCCGGCGGCGGCGTGGTGGGCTCAGGGGGCGTTTTTGTGGTCCCTGCAGGCGCGTCGCCCGCGGGGGCCGTGGGGAGGAGCGGGAGGAGCAGGACGACGATGGTGGTGGTGATGGTGGTGGTGGTGAGTGTGATGGTGATGATGGTGATGGTGATGGTGATGGTGATTGTGGTGATGATGATGCTGATGATGATGATGATGATGATGATGATGATGGTGGTGGTGGTGGTGGTGGTGGTGATGGTGATGGTGATGGTGGTGATGGTGATGATGGTGATGATGATGGTGATGATGATTATGATGATAATGTTGTTGATGATGATGGTGGTGGTGATGGTGACCATGATGATGGTGATTGTGATGGTGATGGTGATGGTGACGGTGATGGTGAGTGCGGTGCCTGCAGGCGCCTCGCCCGTGGGGCAGGGGGGAAGGAGCGCGAGGAGCAGGAAAACGATGATGGCGATGATGATGATGATGATGATGATGATGATGATGATGATGATGATGATGATGATGATGATGATGATGATGATGATGATGATGATGATGGTGATGGTGATGGTGATGGTGATGGTGATGGTGATGGTGATGATGATGATGGCGATGATGATGATGATGATAATGATGATGATGATGGTGGTGATGGTTGTGGTGATGATGACGATGATGACGATGATGATGATGATAGTGATGGTGATGATGGTGATGGTGATGGTGATGATGACAGTGTTGATAATGATAATGGTGATGATGATGATGATTCTGATGATGATGATACTGATGATTATGATGATGATGATGATGATGATGATGATGATGATGATGATGATGATGATGACGATGATAATGATGGTGACGGTGCTGATGATGATAATGATGATGATGGCGATGTGATATGATGGTGATGATGACGATGATCGGGATAGTGGTGGTGATGATCTCGGCGATGGTCATGATGGTGATGGTGATGGTGATGGTGATGATGATGATGATGGTGATGACGGTGATGATGTTAGTGATGGTGGTGATGAGGATGATGATGATGATGGTTTTGATGATGATGATTATGATGGTGGTGGTGATGATGGTGATGCTGATGCTGATGCTGCTGATGGTGATGCTGATGGTGGTGATGGTCACGGTGATGGTGTTGGCCATGGTAATGGTGGTGATGGTGATAGTGATGGTGATGGTGACTGTGATTGTTGTGATGATGATGGTGGTGAATGATGGTTATGGTGAGGATGCTGATGATGATGATGGTGGTGATGATGGTGATGGTGATGATGGTGGTGATGGTCATGGTGGTGGTGATGGTGACGGTGATGGTGGTGGTGATGATGATAGTGGTGATGATGATGATGGTGGAGATGATGGTGAGATGATGATGATGATGATGATGGTAATGTTGATGATGGTGATTGTGATGACGATGGTGATGGTGATGATGGTGATAATGATAGTGATGGTGGTGGTGTTGATGATGATGATGATGATGGTTTTGATGATGATGGTGATTATTATGGTGGTTGTGATGATGGTGATGGTGATGGTGATGCTGATTCTGCTGATGGTGATGTTGATGATGGTGATGGTTACGGTGATGGTGATGGTGATGGTAATGGTGGTGGTGGTGGTGATGGTGATGGTGATTGTGATGGTGATTGTGGTGGTGATGATGATGGTGATGATGATGTCGATGACGATGGTGATGGTGAGGATGATGATGATGATGGTGGAAAAGATGGTGATGGTGATGATGATGATGGTGATTGTGGTGGTGATGGTGACGGTGATGGTGGTGGTGATGGTGAGGATGATTGTGATGATGATGATGGTGGTGGTGATGATGAGATGGTGATGATGATGGTAATGCTGATGATGTTAATGGTGATGGAGATGACGATAATGACGGTGATGATGGTGATGGTGGTGGTGGTGGTGATGGTGATGGTGATGGTGATGCTGATTGTGCTGATGCTGATGATGAGTTTATAACCATGATGAAGATGGTGATGATGCTGAGGATGATGGTGATGGTGATGATGATGAGAAGGCGGGGGAGGTGGCGGTGGTGGTGGTGGTGATGGTGGTGGAAGAGGTGATGATGATGATGATGATGATGATGATGATGATGATGATGATGGTGATGGTGATGGTGATGGTGATGGTGATGATGATGATGATGATGATGATGATGATGATGATGATGATGATGATGGTGATGATGATGATTGTGGTGGTGGTAGTGGTGGTGGTGGCGTCCTCCTCCTCACGTGCGCCTCCTCCTCGTCATTCTCCTCCGCTTTCTCCCTCCTCCCCCCCTGCTTCCCCGTTCTCCCTCCCCGTCCTTCTTCTCCTCACCCTCCCACCATTCTCACCTCCTCCTCCCCTGCATCCTCCTCCTGCTCCTCCTGCTCATGCTCCTCTTCCTTGCTACCCCCTCCTCCTTCCCGGATTCCTTGAAAGCCCTGCCGAGCCCTCCAAAACCACCCTCCTTGAGGCACCCGAAAATTGTCTCTCGAACCCTCTCAGAACACACCACGAGACCCCCCCACACCCCCTCAACCTTCTAGTCAGGGACCAGACTCTCAGGGCGCGCTCGGAGTAGTGGTGGCTGCTTCGTCGCCGTCGCCTGCAAACAAAGGGCGCATCGCGCCTCTGCCGCGCATTCTGCCGTCCGCCGCCCCGGACAATGACGCTGACGGCGCGGTGCAGGACGAGTTTCCCACACCCTTTCTCATGGTCTGCGCCGGTTCTTTCGAGCCCTGGTCGAGCGTGCTTGCCGCAATCTTCCTCCCAGAGCGTCCGAGCTGCCAGGTATGTCTTACTTCGGCAAGATGACCAGCACCACCTCCAGCACGTCCTTGGGTAGGTAGCTTAAAGCGGCTGTGGCAACGTTGCGATACGAGTGCATCGGCATGCGCTGGCGTCTGGTGATCGATGGGAACGCGCCGAATTTGTGTCAGTTAGCGTCGATTTAGCGTCGATTAGCGTCGACTCGAGTTCATTAGCTTCGGTCAGGGTCGGTTCCCAAGAGCCATCAAGAGATGACATGGAGTTTCCACTGAACACCCTCTTCGGCAGCAGCCTCGTTCTCGTCCTCGTTCCCCCCATCGGGCTTCTTTTCTTTCGAAAAAAACAAAACTGCGCAAGGGCCTGCTTAAGCATAGACTTTTGGAGGTGATCGTTTTCGTATTCGTTGTTTTGCCGATCGGTTCGGGCCCTCGCACCCCCCCTCCCCCCGATCCCAACAGAGCAAGCGGAGTCTCCCCCATGGGACGCACTGCTGCAGACAGTCACGCTAGGCAGAGGTCTGGATCCAGACCCCCCCGTGATGATTCGTATCTTTGACCATTCTGTCGAACCGGTCCCGCAGCCTGAATGAAGCCCACAGTGGGCCGATCGGCGCAGCAGCGTTGCCTTCTTGAAGCTCTCGTCGAGCTCTAGCTGATGGAATTGGCCTCGACCCTCCTGGGGGCGAAGAGAACATCAAAATGGTAAGGGAAGAGTCTGCTTACATCCCCCCCTCCCCCCTCCCGCCCAACGTCGAAACGCCGAGTAAGGAAACGTTCCCGAGCTCAGTGCGGATTTCTTGGCTTTGTGCCGGCCCCCCCCGGGGCGGCGCCTCGGGCGCCGCCCTCCTGGCGGCGAGAGGGGGGCCTCCCGCACCAATGCAGGAGGTCCGCGCGGGCCTCCGAAAGTTTCTGTGTGTACAGTGGCGGCCCATGCCGCGCCCTGCTCGCCTCCAGGGTGCCCTGGGGTTCTTGGTCTTCGATGCTTCGTGCCGTGGAAGGCGCGACGTTCCCACGCTTAGAAACGAGGGACGTCCTGGGGTCTCGGGGTTGCCTCTCTCGTGGAAGGTCTCCTGTGGTCGAGCCCCTGCTGAATGCAGTTTTTCTTCCTGGACTTTGCCAGCAGTCTCGTTCTCGTCCTCGTTCCTCCGCCGGCCTCTTCGTCTTCCGGAGGAGGAGGAGGAGGAGGTTGATGCAACGCAGGCATGAGGGTGGCTCCCTGTGCTCAGTACGTGAGGCTCTAAGCTCGGGACAAGAGAGGAAGAGCACAAAAAAGAGGGAGGGAAGCACGGGGGCGCCTAGCCCAGGACGACAGACCAGGCCTGTAAGTCCCTCCGTGCTGCCTCGACCTGTCGGGGCGACGGTGCCTGCGGCTGCGCTGGGAAGAGGAAGTTGCGGGGTGGGTCCTGCTGGGCCCACGGAGCAACACCTCTCTGCTCGAATTCGTCGAGCTGCAGCACGATTGGCCTCGATCCTGGCCCTTTGGGAGGCGGAGAGGGGAAGGGGAGCAGGGGGCGGAGGCAGAGGCGGAGGCGGGGGAGGGGAAGGAAGAAAGGGCCAGGACGCAGCTTGCTCCTCTGGGGAGCCGAGCAGAAAATCTGCTACTCGCTTCTATTCAGGATCCTGTTCGGAGTGACCCTGGGCAGGCGGGGGAGAATCAGAAACCTCAGGCCCTTCAGAATCAGAAGAGTCGAAACGATAGAGCTCGGGGTCTGTGCGCCTAGACAACCGACCAGCCCTGCCTTGGAATCCAGCAAAATCAGGTGCTGGAGCGGGGGGTTCTGGCGCGTCTCGCTGCATGGCAGCGTAGAAAGACATGAGCCCTGCACGAATTTCTTCACAATCCTGAGAGTACTGAAATACAGGCTCCTCGCACGAGGAATCTATTAGAGTGCTTATGCTGGCCACGATACTTTCCGCGAGAGCTTTACATAGGCCACCTGGGTAGGCCTTCTTAGAGGCCGTGTGAAAAACACCGTCCTCACGCTTGCCGAGCAGTGTCCTGTGAACACCTCTGCCGTGCGAGCACTTCCCATTGCCTGGAGTAGAACGCAACCTGGACGGTAAGCAAGGCATGCGCACAGACAAAATACAGGTGGGTGCCCGACCGTATGTAGACGGGCAGGCGGTGGGGTCTTGATGCTCACACTGGTCGAATTCAGTGAGATTAGAACACGGGGCAGCAGCGAGGGCCTGCATGGGGCGCCACCTAAATGACGTGGGAGCCCCAGGAGCCCAAAGAGCAGGGGTCGGGTGCTCAAGCCAGCCTCCAGTGCCAGCTCTGAG